GTTTTAGATGTAGTGTTCCATGATTCATTGTTTGTGCATAACACCCAGTGCTCCATGCAGAATGTGCCCTCCTCAATACCCACCACCAGGCTAATATTTTTTTTTATTTATGAGAGAGAGAGAGCATGAGCAGAGGGAGAAGCAAGCTCTGGGCTGAGCAGGGAGCCCAATGCAGGGCTCGATCCTAGGACCTCGGGATCATGACCCAAGCCAAAGGCAGCCGTTTAACTGACTGAGCCACCCAGGCGCCCCCTAACCGTGTAGTTTTTTAAACTTTGGTTTTAAACCACAGAACACGGTTCAGACATCTTGAAGGCCCAACTGTGAAGCAAGTGTGGAACTGCGGCTAAAGAGGCCCAGTCCTTCTTAAATTTATAACTACAGTGAAACTATTCTGTTTACAAACTTAAAAAAGATTATATGTGTTAGCTAAAAATCACAACCCAAAAATCAGGTTTTAGAAACTTTTTCTTTTGAAATTATATTAGAGTAACAAAAAAATTGCCGTGTGGATGAATCTTGAAAACATCCTGCTAAGTGAAAGAAGGCAGTCCAAGAGCCATATATTTGTATGATTCTATTTGAAATGTCTTGAATAAGTAAATCCAGAGTCAGAAAGATTAATGGTCACCAAGGTCTAGGGCAAGGAGGGAATAGGAAGCTAATGAGTAAAGGGTTGCTTTTTTTGGGGTGATTAGAATGTTCCAGAATTAGATGGTGGTGATGGTTTCCCGACCCTGTGAATATACTAAAAACCACTGAATTGTACATTAAAAGGGTGAATTTTATGGTATATGAATTATATCTCAATATTTTAAAATCATGTACATAAGAAAGATAGTAGAGAGTTCACTGTTCTCTTCACCCAGCTTCTTCTAATACTAGTTTAAGTATAGTGCAGTTATCAAACCCAGTTAATTAACATTGACACAAGTCTAGTAACCAAACTGCAGACGTTACAGATATAAGGCTAATGATCGCTTTCTGTTTTTGGATCTCATCCCAGATGGCACGTTGCTTTTAGCTGTCCTGTCTCCCTGGTCTCCAATCTGTGACGGTTTCTCTGACTTTCCTTGTCTTCACTTTCTTGGCTTGATACTTCTGATGAATCCTGGTCAGGTATTTTGTAGGTTGTCTTTCAGTTGGGTTTGTCTACATATTGTGATTAGGTTGAGGTTATGTCTCTTTGGCTTGAATACCACTGAAGTGAAGTTGTGCCTTTCTCAGTACATTTTGTTGACGTATCTTATTACTGCTGTGATTTAATGGGATCACTTGGTTAGGGTGGGGTCTTCTGAGTTTCTTCACTATAACCTTAAAATTTTTTCCTTTGCAGTTAGTAAATATCTTGCAGGGAGCTGCTGCCTGGAGACTATGTAAATGTCTCGTTTCTCATCAGACTTTTGCCTACTGGTTTTAGCATCTAAAATAATTTTATTGGCAGGGGGCCGCGGCTGGTTAAGCATCGACTCAGTTTTGGCTCTGGTCGTGATCTTGGGGTTGTGAAATCAAGCCCCGCCTTGGGCTCTGCACTTAGCATGAAGTCTGCTTAAGACTCTCTCTCCCTCTCCCTCTGCCCCCCACTCTGCTCCCTCCCTTTCTCTCTCTCTCTCAAATAAATCTTAAAAAAAATAATAAAAATAGGGGCACCTGTGTGGCACAGTTGGTTAAGTGTCTGACTTTTGGTTTCGGCTCAGGTCGAGATCTCAGGGTCTTGAGATCATGCCCCACATTGGGCTCTGTGTTCAGTGTGTAGTCAGCTTAAGATTCTCTCTCTCCCTCTCCTTCTGCCCCTCCACCACGTGTGCTTACACTGTCTCTCTTTCCAAAATAAATAAAAATCTGGGGTGCCTGCGTGGCTCAGTTGGTTAAACGTCTGCCTTCGGCTCCGGTCGTGATCCCGGGGTCCTGGGATCGAGCCCTGCATTGGGCTCCTTGCTCAGTGGGGAGCCTGCTTCTCCCTCTCCCTCTGCCACTCCCCATGCTTGTGCTCTCTCTCTCCCTTTCTGTCAAATAAATAAATAAAATCTTTATAAATAAATAAATGAATAAAAAATCTTTTAAAAAATTAAGTAAATAAAAATAAATAAAATTTTAAAAATCATTTTTTATTATGGCAAAATAAAAATAACATAAAATTTACTATTTTAACCTTTTTTAAAAAAATATTTTATTGGTTTGAGAGAGAGAGAAAGAGCAAACACAAGCAGGGGCAGCAGCAGAGGGAGAAGCAGACTCCCCACTGAGCAGGGAGCCTGATGCGGGGCTGGAACCCAGGACCCTGGGATCATG